GCAGAATGCCTTGGTTAGTTGTGAAAATTAGGCCTGACAATTTGTGTGTGTGTGTGTGTGTGTACACGTGTACATATTATCTATTTGAGGCAAGATGTGGCTAGGAAATCCAGGGTCTCCATTATGTAGTCCAGACTTCATGTCATCTGGGCTTTCCAGGGGCTCTCTTGTCTCTGCTCCATCATACTGGGATTACAGGCTTGTTCTGGTGTGCCCTGTGAGGCCTGCTCTCTGGATGGCTGACGTTGACTAATGGATGCCCACCTTCACTTCCTGACATTCTTGTCCATATGATCAATACAAGGCTTTTTTTTTTTTTTTTTTTTTTTTTTTTTTTGGTGCTAGTCCTGGGGCTTGTACTCAGGGCCTGAGCATTTGTGTGTGTGTGTGTGTGTGTGTGTGTCTTGTACTCAGGGCCTGAGCATTTTCCCAAACTTCATTTTGCTTAAGGCCAGAGCCATAGTTCTACTTCCAGCTTTTTTTGGAATGCGGGTGTGTGTGTGTGTGGGTGGGTGTGGGTGTGGGTGTGGTTAATTAGAGATAAAAGACTCACAGACTCTGTGTGTGTGTGTGTGTGTGTGTGTGTGTGTGTGTGTGTGTGTGTGTGTGTGTGTGTGTGTGTGTGTGTGTGTGTGTGTGTGTGTGTGTGTGTGTGTGTGTGTGTGTGTGTGTGTGTGTGTGTGTGTGTGTGTGTGTGTGTGTGTGTGGTTAATTAGAGATAAAAGACTCACAGACTTTCCTGCCCCAGCTGGCTTTGAACCACAATCTTCCGATCTCAGCTTCCTGAGTAGGTAGGATTATAGATGTGAGCCACTGGACCCGGCTCAGATTTTTTTTTTAAACTTCTACAGATTTTTTTTAACCTTACTATTTTGCCTTCATCTTAGGATGTCTATTTACTTTCAGTACAAGTGAACAGTACAAGTACTGTTCTCACAGTACTTCTATGATCTCATTTTTTTTCCTACTGTTTTAGTGTAGTGTGATTTTATGTTTGAGGCATCAGTAATGTTGTGTCTTCTGGCCCAGTAGCAAAATACCTCTATCTCTCTTTATTGTGGGTCATGAACTCTTGCTTCTTTGTGATATAGAATTTTCTTTATGTGATACAGAATTTGCTTTAGGTGAACAAAATTCTCTCAGACTGCTTGGCTCAGCAGAACACTAGGGCTGAGCCCTGTAGCAGACCAGCCTGTTGCATGTTGTAGCTCGGGGTTGTGCTGTAGTCTCCTTGGGCTCTTGTCTCTGGGTTCATGAGAAGCCCGGGATGGTGGAGGATGAGTGTAAAAACCTCATTTAGAAGTATCTAGCTTGAAGGTTGCAGCAACAATCTGGTAATATTCTCTATTAACTTGTTCATTAAAAAACAAAAGGTCTTAGAACACTTGCCTTGCATGCCTGAGGCCCTGGCTTTGATTCCTCAGCACCACATAAGCAAAAAGAAAAAGAGCTGGAAGTGGCGCTGTGGCTCACGTGGTAGAGTGCCAGCCTTGAGCTGAAGAGCTGAGGGACAGCGCCCAGGTCCAGAGTTCAGACCCCATGACCGACCAAAAAAATAAATAAATAAATAAATAAAAGGTCCGAACTATATGACTTCCTATATGAATGTTAATTGGTAATAGGAAATTTTCAAAGAAAAAAATATTATTAACTTAAATCCTAGCTTTCACATTGAAGCATCTTTGTATGTTCAGAGCTTGCTTCTACCAAATGTACATTGAAATGACTAAGTTTTGAGTGCCCCTTCCCACACGCAGTGTGATGTTTACCTGTGCAGTCTGGGAAGACAAGTGGCAGTTACTTGTTTTATATGTGCTTACAGACTGTTTGGCCTCTGACATTAACCTGTTTCTGGGACAGTTTGTCAGCTTAGTTAGCAGGATGCTCACCAGAAATCAGTTTTTTAGTGTGCACGTGGACTGTTCAAGAAAAACAGAGAAAGGCCAGGGTCACCAGGCCTCCGCCGCAGGGAGGCTATGGACAGCTGTCTCCCCTTCATCTCCTCTAGTGCCAGGAAGGACCTCTGATGCGGACAGAGAGAAGTCACTGAGGTGAGGAAGGCACCAGGGAGGTGCAAACAGTCCCTTCAGGGTAAGGCAGATGCTGTTCAAGACGTCCATTGACACGTCTTCAAAACGTAAACACATGTACTCCTACTAAACAGATTTGTAGGCAGATAACCATACTGTTATTATTTTTTGCTGGTACTAGGGCTTGAACTCAGGACCTTGTGCTCTTGCTCAGCTTACTTGCGCATGGCTGGCATTTTCCCACATTCTAGCTCAGCTTATTGCTGCCTAATTGTAGATGGAGTCTCACAGGCTTTTCTGACGGGTCTGGCTTTGAATCACAATCCTCCAGGTCTTTGTCTTTTCAGAGCTTCCTTCTATCAAGTGTGCCCTCAAATTATTAAATGTGAGTGTTTGTTGTTGAGCTCTGTGAATTTATAGACAGGTATCAGTCTTAGCCTCCTGAGTAGCTAGGATTATAGGCATGAGCCACTGGTATACAACTCTATTTTCTGTTACAATACTGTGTTTACCTTTTCTTTTTTCCCTTAAAGACAGATTCCCTTTGTTGCCCAGGCTGGTATCAAATTCCTAGGCTCAAGTAATCCTTCCCTGTCAGTCTTCTGAGTGGTGGAGGGGTTATACGCATGTACCACTGTGTCCTGTAGTGGCTAGGCTTTCCAGTGTTTAGTGTTGTTTCAGTCATGTTTTGAGAACTTTTTTCCCCTTGTAGACAGGGTCTCTCTTGAAACTTGCTATGGAGCCCAGGTCTTTAGTTGACCACCACACCTGGCTATTTGGGGAACTTTTGATGCTGTATTTTACCATAACCTTTTCCCCTTAGACATATAATCACATGCAAGCTTTTATTGTCACTGTATAATGTTAAAAATAAATGTTGAGCCAGGCGCTGGTGGCTCATGCCTGTAATCCTAGCTACTCAGGAGGCTGAGATCTGAGGATTGCGGTTCAAAGCCAGCCTGGGCAGGAAAGTCTATGAGACTCTTCAATAAACCACTCTGAAAACCAGAAGTAGCTCAGTGTCTCAAGTGGTAGAGTGCTAGCCTTGAGCTAAGAACTGAGCGACAGCACCCAGACCCAGAGTTCGAGTCCCACGACCAACAAGAATAAATAAATATAAAAAATGTTCATTATTAAATGTTAAAGGCTATTAATATATTCCATGTTTGTCACCATATGACAGATTAATCAGTATCTGGAAAATGTAAACTTAAAAAATAAAACGTTTTCTGTGTTTCAAAGTATTTTAGACTTATTTACTATATTTATTTTGTCTTATGACTGTAGGTGTTTCTTTTCTCAAATGTTTATTGCAAAGAAAGTAAAAATGTAGAAGGAAGTAAAAGCTAGATAACTAGGAGAGAATGTGAAATTGGCAGATAATACAAGAATTCTGTGAAGTAGTGCTCAGGAGGCCTGATAGCAGTGCTGCACCTTTATTGTTTGGTACTCTGCTATAGCAACAATAGTAAGAGCAGAGACCTAAATTTTGAAGTGACCATAATTACAACAGACATTTTTCTGAGTTTTCAGGCACTATATAGGCATATACTTATCAGTTAGGCAGCTGTGTTAAGATTTGTTTCAGGGCTGGGAAGGTGGCTCAGTGGTAGAGCGCTTGCCTTGCATGCATGAGGCCCTGGGTTCGATTCCTCAGCACACATAAGCAAAAAGAAAAAAGCTAGAAGTGGCGCTGTGGCTCAAGTGGTAGAGCGCTAGCCTTGAGCTGAAGAGCTGAGGGACAGTGCCCAGGCCCAGAGTTCAGACCCCACGACCGGACCCCCCCCCCCCCCCCCAAAAAAAAAAAAAAAAGATTTTTTTCATATGTCATTCTAAAGAACATTGATACATTTGGATAATAAACTTTAGCTCCACCTCTTAGGGTTTGTGTAATTGGAAAAAGATAACTGTATAATAAAAAAAACAAGTCTTTAGAAAAACATGATGTTAATGAAGCCCAGTTACTTTGAGGTATTTAGAAAAGGTTTTATAATACATTGGAGATGCATTTAAAAATCAGTAAATGACAATAGTATTAATTTTTGATAAAGTAATATGAAAATTACTTCTGGTTCCGTTAGCTTGAGAATAAACTATATGTGAAAATCACAAATGAACTTTTTCACGTGTTGATACAATAGTTACAAAAATGTACAAATAGACCCAAAAGGTTTTTGATCTTCCTATGTGGGAATGAGATGGAAGGAATGAGGAAGGCTAAGGCAGAGGAGGGGGAGTAAAGTGTATCAGTTTTGTCTGTTCAAATGCTTATCTGTTCTGTCATACTGTATATAACATTTAAGTATATATAGTCAGCTTATACATTCAAGTGTATATATTTAAGCATATATGATCAATTTCATAGATGACTATGGCGCATCAGATATTATTTAGATAATGTAAGGATATACTCAATACATTACATAGGAAAATCTCTTAAAAATAAAGCTTTAGGTCCTCGTTTTCAGATCTTTTGGTGTCTGCAATGCCGCCACTAGTGGAGGATGATTCTATGTATGATTTACATTATTTCTTTTTTTGTGAGTTTTGTGCCAGTCAGTGCTATCCACAATATTAATTTAGGTAATTTTGTATCTCCAACTATCTAATAATGTTCCTGATCATTGGTAACTTGGCAGAGAACTGAAACACTAAATATGGGGAAACGTTCCAAATGGAATCTCTTTCTAAATTATCACGAACAAATTATTGATGTCTTTTTATTAATTAATTGTGTTTGGTAGTTTACTAAAGTGATGAATTACAAGTGACATTAATTATGAGTCTAAATGTCACTATATGGCTGGTACTGTTAGTTTTTGTAAACTTATTTAAACTTACCTCTGGCTGTTAGCTAAAAACCTTTGTCTGAAAAAGTCACAAATTATGTTTTTGCCCTAGAGTTATTGTTGAAGTAATTATGATCTTTGTTTCCTTGAGCTGATTATACGTCTTTTTTTTTTTTTTAAGGTAAAGTGCAAGTTAAGAGTTCAGACATACAGGTTGGGGACCTAATCATAGTGGAAAAGGTTGGTGAATTTTTTCATATGTCTTATACACATATATACACACGTATATATCACCCATTCACATTTAGCCTGATTTGAAGAAAGTTTGAGACTGACATTTTAAATCCTGATATGTTTGTATAAAATTTGTTATACTTGAATAAAAATCCAAATTTTGTATGTTCTGTTTTGCTAAAGTATATTTCAGTGTATGTAGGTAAAATTATATTTTGTTCAAAATAACATGTGTTAACTGTTTAGAGTGGCAATATCAGAATTATGCCATTTGACAACAGAATTGTATAAGAATGTACTAGTAATACCTACTTTTTTTCTGGAGCTTACTTGTTCAGGTAGCTGTATAGTCTACAGATTTACATATTTATATATTCACATACATATTTCACATATAGTCAATATATATGTATTTGCATATAGCATCTTCATGGACTTAAAAATTTGAAGAGTATGGGGCTGGGAAGGTGGCTCAGTGGTAGAGCGCTTGCCTTGTGTGCATGAGGCCCTGGGTTCAATTCCTCAGCACCACATAAGCAAAAAACAAAAAGCTGAAAGTGGCACTGTGGCTCAAGTGGTAGAGTGCTAGCCTTGAACTGAAGAGCTGAGGGACAGCGCCCAGGCCCAGAGTTCAGGCCCCACGACCGGACCCCCCCCCCAAAAAAAAAATGAAGAGTATAAGATGAGTGGAAGTAAAACAGAAAAGAACTAGGAAAGAACAGATATATTGGTGGGAAGAAGCCGTAGAGAAACAGTGGATTAAAGTATGGAACTGCTTAGGGTGGCTGGTGGTCTGAGTGGACTAAGTAGACAGTCTGCATGTGTGGCATTCACTCTGGTTGCTGCCTCTGCCTGGTCCCCTCTGAATACACCACTTGTGTCCTTTTCTTCACAGTGTTAGTGTCTTTGTGGCTTTCCATCTACTCTCTTTGTTTATCTCTGTTGATTTAAATAAGCCATTTGTAAGAGTATACTAGTTTTCTTTTTTTCCCTAAAGATGCAATGTCTTTTAAAAATTAAGCATGATGTAATAGCAACCAAACAGATACTTGCAAAATATTTTAGTGTTTTGAATTATTCTAGAGTTCAATATAATGTTAGGCAAAATGAGCCCTACTGAGGGAGACAGATACTACATGTTTTGTCTCTGCTGCAGAATCTGGTCCTTAAAAATGAATGACAAGAATGTAAAACAGGTTGTATTTGTGTGTGGGAGCCAGTGGGAGAAGGAAGACAAAGAGTGAAGGAGAGGGTGGGATATGATCTAAGTATTTTATATACATGCATGAAAACAAAAATGAACCTGTTAATTACTTTTTTAAAATGGGGAGGAAAGATGAGTAATAGTATGAATTGGATCCAAGCATATTTTATGCACATAGGAACTCTCACAAAGAAGCCCTTTTTTACAACTAACATATGTTGAGAAACCATGCTCTTTGCAAACAAGCATACCCTCTTAGTCAGGTCAGACATATGCTCCTGTCTGAGTGTGATAATGAGTAAGAACTTGTCTCTCTAGTAGGACAGGAAAGCAGGTTAAAGATGTGCCAATTGGGTAAGAAGGAATAACACTGTCACTATTTGAAGGTTGATATGGTAGGGAGGTTAAAGATGTACCAGTTGGAAAGGAAGTTTACAATGTCACTATTTGCAAGTGATGTGCTAGTGAGTGTAGAAATCTGAAGGGATTTGTTAGAGAAGCAAATGAACCAAAAACATCTCCTGAAACTAAGTTCATCAAGGTGTCAAGCTATAAGATCAACACATAAAAGTATTAACACCATTTTTGAAGTGCTCTATCCCCATGTGGAAGAACGAAGGAAGAGAAATACAATACTTTTTAACATTCAGCAAAAATAAAATCTATCAATAATATGTTGATAACTGAAATTAAACACTACTTAAGTAAATAGACACGTTATTTTTTTGGACTGAGGCATTCCTCCCACAGTTTTCCAAAAATTGTACCAACAGGCCTTACATACTTCCTCTCAAGATTGCAGAAAGTTTTTTCTCTCCTTTTCCTCTTAAAGACATAGACAATCTTATTCCAAAGCTACTTGAGGAAGGCACAGGCTCTGGCCTAACAAAGCAGTCCTGACAAGGCTAGGACAGTAGGAAGGACCACTCTCCTGGTTTAAGGCCAGTTAAATGGATTCATACCTATCATCATGTAGGTAGGAGAGGGGGAAACAGTCCCCAAAGAATCCATAAGGAGATACAAACAGACCTGTTCAAATTTGTAGAAGTGACTTCTGACAAGGGCACAAAAACAGATTATAAAATGGTTGCTTTTTCAACAAATTGAACTAGAACATTCATGTACTTAATGTAAAATGTAAAAATAGAAGACTTTCCAGAAACACATAGAAAATGTTCAGAATCTAGGGATAAGCAAATAGTTATTAGACTATATCAAAAGAACATTAAGTAAAAGAAAAATTGGGGGCTGGGAAGGTAGCTCAATGGTAGAGCGCTTGCCTTGCATGCTCGAGGCCCTGGGTTCGATTCCTCAGCACCACATAAGCAAAAAGAAGCCGGAAGTGGCGCTGTGGCTTAAGTGGTAGAGCGCTAGCCTTGAGCTGAAGAGCTGAGGGACAGCGCCAGGCCCAGAGTTCAGGCCCCACGACCGGACCCCCCCCACCCCCCCAAAAAAATTGTTAGCTGGGTGCTGGTTGCTCACGCCTGTAATCCTAGCTACTCAGGAGGCTGAGATCTGAGGATCGCGGTTCAAAGCCAGCCCGGGCAGGAGAGACCGTGAGACTCCTATCTCCAATAACCACCAGAAAAACCGGAAGTGGTGCCCTTGAGCTGAAGAGCTGAGGGACAGCGCCCAGGCCCAGAGTTCAAGCCCCATGGCCGACCAAAAAAAAAAAAGAAAAATTGAAACTGGCATCTCACTAAAATTGAAAATAGCCGAGTACTGGTGGCTCACATTTATAATTCTAACAACTCAGCAGGCTGAGATATCAAGATCTAAGAATTGAGATTTGAAGTCAGAGTGGGCAAATAAATCCACTACACTCTTGTCTCCAATTAACTATCAGAAGGACAGAACCAAGGTGTGGTTCAAATGATAGAACCCTAGCCTAGAGCTGAGAAGGGCTAGCTAAGATGGAGAGAGGAGAGAGCAAGAGCAAGTGAACTAGCTAGCTAGTTCAAACCGCAGTACTGGAAAAAAAAATTAAGCGTGCTTTTTGACCAGTTGTGAATATGGTTTTAAAAATAAGGCCACAAGCTGAGAGTGGTAGCTCATGCCTGTAATCCTGGCTACTCAGGAGGCTGAGATCTGAGGATCGCAGTTCGAAGCCAGCCTGGGTGGGAAAGTCCATGTGACTCATCTCCAATTAATGAAAAATTAAGCCAGAAATGGTGCGCTGGCTCAAGTGGTAAAGAGCTATCCTTGAACAAAAGGAACTTAGGGTCAGTGCCCAGGCCCAGAGTTCAAGGCCCAGGCCCTGCCAAAAAAAAAAAAAAGTCAACAGATTGGCAGAAAACATTAGTAAACCTAAACCATGTACCCAATATGGATTGTATCTGTAATATATAAAAACTCAAAATTCCACATTAAAAAATTCAATTCCACATTTAAAAAAAATTCAAAAGTAGGTAAAAGAATTAGCTCTATAGATAATCAGTGTTATCAGGAAATTGAAATGAAAGTTAGGAATTATAGCGCCACACTTACCAGAATGGCTAAAATATAATGAGATCACTTTCACATTGTTTTAGAAGTATCAAATGGTATAGTTATTCTGGAAAATTATCTGACAGTTTCTTTTAAAAAAACTATTCAACTGTCATGTAACTGAGCAATTAAACTCTCCACAGAAAAATGTTAATTTGTGTTTTACAAAATCCTCTACCAAAATAATTACATAATGCATTTTTTTCTGTGCATGCTAGTTCTGGGACTTGCACTCACAGCCTGAGCTCTGTCCCTTTGTTTTTTTGCTTGAGGCTAGTCCTCTACCACTTGAACCACAGCTCCACTTAGGGCTTTTTTGGTGGTTATTTGGAGATAAAAGTCTCATGGACTTTCCTGCTTGGCTGACTTCAAACCAAGATCCTTAGATCTCAGACTCCATAGTAGCTAGGATTACAGGTGTAAGCCACCAGTGCCTGGCTGCGTTATTCTTAATAGCCAAACTCAGAACACTTCAGAGCCCCTGAATTGAATTAGGGGCCACTGTACAGCCACACGGGTTAAGAAGACACAGACCCTGTACTCAAGCCTTTCAGTAATGTCCAGTCGTTACTGGAAATTACCCAGTTTACTGTGTGAGTATTTTGTAGAAAATAATACATAAGGAATGAAGAGTAATTGAAATTAAGAAAAAATTCCATTTGGAAGAGGATCAAAAGAAAAGAATACTTAGGAATAGATTTAACAGAAGTGCCAAACTTGTATTTTGAGAACTATAAAACATTGTTGAAATACATTAAACAGATCTGAGTAAACAGAAAGACATACCATACAGCTAAATAATTTTTTTTCTCTTTCCTTTGGGCAGCACTGAATTGAACTCATAATTGTACTCGTATGTAAGCACTCTATTTGAGCCATGCTTCCGGAGCTTTTTGTTTTAGTTATTTTTCAGATAGTGTCTTGCTTTTTTTGCCTGGGCTGGCATCAGACCATGGTCCCTTCCCTGTGCCTCCATAGCTTCTGCGATTGGCTTGTTGGTTGAGATGGAAGCTTTGCTAACTTTTTGCCCAGACTAGCCTCAACCACAGTCCTTCTGTCTTTGCTACTGAGTAATTGGGATTACAGGCATGAACCAGCATGCCTAGCTAGATACAAATATTGATGTTTTAAGACAGTAGTTCTTCTCAAATTATTATATAGGTTGATGCTATTGATCTCAAAATCCAGCTAATTTCTTTTTTTTTTAATTGTGAAAATACGGTACAGAGGGTTTACAATTACATGGGCAAGATAATAAGTACATTTCTGATCAAGCATTGTTTCTTCCTCCTTTGTTTCCCCTTCCCATCCCTTCTCATCCTCCCCTCCCAACCCTCCCCCAACCCCTGCCTCATGGCCAAAGTTGTAAAGTTTGTTTTTCGACTTAGTGACTTGTACATCTCATTGTTGCAATGGGGTCCATCTGTATCCCTATTTAAACGATTTGTTTTTGCCCTTCCCCTCCACAAATTATACCAACATCAAATACAGTGAGAGCAGGGGTTATACTGTGGGGGAGAGACATACAAAGCAGCATAGAAATCATCTTATAAATATGTTAGAAACAATTGCATGAAAGAAAAAAACATTTGAATACTTATCTTGGGGTTCATTTCACCTAACATCAACTTATCTGACCTTTTCTGCTTGTCTCAGACATATACTAGTTATTGCAAATAAGGGAAACCATGGGACCTATGTTTCTTTGGGCCTGGCTTACTTCACTTAATATAATTTTTTCCAAGTCTTTCCATTTCCTAACAAATGGGGCCATGTCATTCTTTCTGATGAAGGCATAGAATTCCATTGTGTATATATATCACATTTTCTTGATCCATTCATCTACTGAGGGGTAGCTGGGTTGGTTCCATATCTTAGCTATGGTAAATAATGCTGCAGTAAACATGGTTGTGCTGGTAGATTTAGTGTGGACTTGTTTGTGATCCTTTGGGTAAATGCCTAAAAGTGGGATTGCTGGGCCATAGGGGAGCTCTATGTGGAGTCATTTGAGGAACCTCCATACTACTTTCCAAAGTGGTTGAACAAGTTTACACTCCCAGCAACAATGCAGTAGGGTTCCCTTCTGTCCACATCCCCTCCAGCATCTGTTGTGATTAGAATTCTTGATTATAGCCATTCTAACTGGGGTGAGGCGGTATCTCAATGTTGTTTTGATTTGCATTTCTTTTATGGCTAGAGAGGTTGAGCATTTCTTCATGTGTCTATTGGCCATCCTTCTTTCCTCTTCAGAGAAGTTTTCTCTTTAAGTCTTTAGCCCACTTATTTATTGGGCAGTTGTTTCTTTGAGAATTTGTTGTTGGGGGATTTAATTTTTTGAGTTCCAGGTACCAGCTAATTTCTTTTAAGGAATCAACAAGCTTCTTGTAGAATTTATTTGGAAATGTAGCAGGCCCAGAATCGCTAAAACAATTTTGAAGATGAACAAGTTTGCATATTCATACTTTTCTACTTCAAAACATAATATAGAGTTACAGTAGTTAAGACATTGTTGACCTATTGTATATTCATAGAGTCTAAAATTACAGTTTGAAATTCATGATCCTTTGACACAGATGAAGCTGTTTAAAAAGTTGGGTGCACGTGAGTGTGCTTAAAAGTGCCTTTTGTCCATGTTCCATGAAAGGCGGGCCGATTCAAAGGTTGTGTTTTATGAGTGGTGCTTCTGTCATCTGAGTGGGTCTTTACACACACACACATCTCCCCCCCTCCCCCCTTTGTATATTTGAAATGTGAGTAGACATACTCTTCCCCTGCAGGTATTCAGATTTCTCAGCACTGTTGAAAAGATCATAATTTCCACACAAAGTGATAGTGTCAAGGCCTCATAATCTGGTGTCCATTTATGGATGGGCTTATTTCTAGACCCTCTAGTTTTGATTGGCATAACTGTTTTATCTCGGTGTGATGCCATCTTGTCTGAATTCCTCTGGTATAATCTTAATATTCGATAGGTTGTAATCCTGAAGCCTGTTTTGGTCTTTCTTGATCTGGCCTTTTCCTGTATACATGAGGAAAATCTTGTCAATTTCCATCAAAAAGAAAACAGGCCAAGTTGTTTTTTAAAATTGGATTTGTGTTGAACATATGACTCAATTTATGGACATTAGGCTTTTTTTTGCAGCATTATGCATCTTAATTTCTGAACATGATGTGTTGGATTCAGTTTCGTTCATAATTTGTATTTTTATGTAGAGGTCTTGATAGCTTTATTAGTTTATTTTAATGTTTATTTTTGTTATTGAAATGAATATTACTACAGGTACATAACTATATATATTTACCTCTGTATGTATCTGTATAATGATGATTCTTGTCATGAATCTTTGCTCCATATTCAGTTATTTTGTATTTTTTTTTGGCTTTTTTGTTTCTTGGCTTTCTAGTGAATATATTTTCTTTATTTTTAGCTTCTTTTTCTGTTGTGTGTTAATAGGGATATTTTCCTCTTTATATCTTTTCTGATTTTGGCTTTCTACTCATTCTCTTGTTGAATATTTTATTACCTTTCAATTGATTTTTTTTCTAATTTCCACTGTGACTTCTTCCATGGGAGACTGTTGATCTTAACTAGATATAACCTTAGAAATAGTTTTGTCCAAAGTGTCTTTGTTTGACCTTAATATGTCATCTTTACGGCTAAAGGCCGTTTCATCATTATATTTGTCTAGATGTTTACCTAGGTTTTTGTTTGTTTTGGTATTACAGGAGTTTAAGAACAAGGCCTTTAGCATGCTATTCAAGCACTATACCACATGATCCTCCTGCATGCCTCCTACAGTTATGAATCAGTACACCCAAATTGATTGTTTTCGATGAGAATTTCACTTTTTGCCCAGGCTGGCCTTGAACCTCAATGTTCCTGATCTCTGCCTTTGGGGTATCTGGGATTACAGGTGTGAACCACTGTACCTGGCCTTTATTTAGTTCTTATCAAAACAGATACATGTGAAGTAGTTTTTTCAATTTATTTAATTTTTTTTAAAAATTTTTCCTTTAGGTTTTCCAGTTGACAGAATTATTAGTAATAGTCATAACAAATAGTGACTTGTAAAAGTTCTTACATGTCATAGGATATCTTTGAATTGCTTCCTTTCTTGTCTCATGGAAGTATAGATCCACATTTGTGATGCTTTTGTTTGCCTAACCTCACATTTGCTTATTCATGCCTGTCTATTGTGTTATTTATGATGTTCTCTTTTTTGTGGTTGACTTTGGGACAGTCTTGTTCTCATTTTCCAGAGCCTTTTGGTAGACAGAATAGGATAGTTTTGTTTTTGTTTTGCTGGTGATAGGGCTTGAACTCAGAGCCTCAAGCTTTCATTAGGCTTTTTCGCACATAACTGGTGCTCTATTTGAGTTCTATCTCCACTTCCATCTTTTTTGCTGGTCAGTTGAAGTTAAGAATCTCTCCTAGACCTACTCCAAACCTCAATTCTCAGATCTTAACGTCCTGAGCTGCTAGACTTACATGCGTGAGCCACCAGTGCCCACAGCCACCAAGTGCTATGTTGTATATGACTAAGGTGTGACAGAACTGTATAACTTGGAGTATTTAACACTTTGCATACATGAAGTGTTTTGTATGTCAGTGCTAGATGCCATCAACAAGGTTCACTGATGGTTAACAGTATCAGTGGTCCAAGTAAAATATGGATCAGAATATTAAGTTTTTACAAGTAAATAAAAAACGTTAAGCAAATTTTTAGTTCAAACCTTCTAGTTGTTTTATTAGCTATTTCTACTTTGGAATGGAATTGTGTTAATATATGTCAGTATATATAATTAATATTTTATATTACCTTTTGCAGAATCAAAGAATTCCATCTGACATGGTGTTTCTTAGAACGTCAGAGAAAGCAGGTATTCTTATTTTTTATTTCTTTTATATTGTTACTGATTTAGTATTTTGGCACTTTGATTTTTATGTTAAAAATAAAAAGTAAAGCCTGGCGCCAGTGGTTTACTCCTTAATCCTAGCTACTCAGGAGGCTGAGATCTGAGGATCTAGGTTCAAAGCCAGCCCGGGCAGGAATGTCTGTGAAACTCTTATTTCCAATACACCACCAGAAAACCGGAAGTGGCGCTGTGGCTCAAGTGGTAGAGCGCTTAGTTTGAGCTGAAGAGCTGAGGAATAGCACCCAGGTCCAGAGTTCAAGCCCCACAACCGACCAAAAATAAAAAAAAAAGTAAAATTGATGCCAGTGAAAATTTCTCCTTGATAGTATTTTGAATTTATTAATTTTAAAATCATATGTAATTGTTGATATTTTAAAAATAACTTTACAGTTTGATATGTTTGGTTTAATGTAAACCTTCTAGAACCCATTTTTTGCTTTTTGGCAGTATCGGCTTTAGAACTCAGGGCCTTGAGCTTGCTAGTCTACCACCTGAACCCTGCCTCCAACCTTTCAAGCAGTGTTTTCATTCAGATACATAATTGAAGACTGATTCAGTGTTGTCCTTCAAAATTGGTCTGTTATTTGCATTTGCATTTTTATTCATCAGTTCAGCAAACAATTATTTATCACCTGTTTTGTACCTAGCACTGTGTTGCTTAGAATTCAAAAGCAATCTAAATTATTAAGTGTTTTTTTTTTTTTTTGGTCCGGTCGTGGGGCCTGAACTCTGGGCCTGGGCGCTGTCCCTCAGCTCTTCAGCTCAAGGCTAGCGCTCTACCACTTGAGCCACAGCGCCACTTCCGGCTTTTTTTCTTTTTGCTTATGTGGTGCTGAGGAATTGAACCTAGGGCCTCAGGCATGCAAGGCAAGCGCTCTACCACTGAGCCACCTTCCCAGCCGTCAAAAGCAATCTAGAGCCATTGGAGCTTTCAAGAGGGGGAATCATGGTTTTTATCTATTTATGTAAGTCCATAGTTAGGCAGTGAATGATTATGCAGGTTCTGTAACAGTGAAAATAGTTGTTAAGGTGTGGAAGAGACAGACAGTTTTGCCTGGGTGAAATGCTGTAGAGTCATAGGAAAAAGCAAGCTTAGATGAGCTGTGTTCTCTACAGGGATCTCATGGGTCAAGTAGAGAAGTATGTCAGGAGTCTGGACACGTTACTTCCCGACTCTTGGGGCAGTTCTTAGTGATGTGATGTGGTAGCAAACCTAGGAGCATTCAGAACTCCTTCTGCCCCGTGCTTGTGATTTACTGGTCAGACCAGCCACTGAGCACCTATATTAATTATTATTAGTTGTAGTATGAATACTCTATAAAGAACAGTGCTGAGCCAGGTGCCAGTGGCTCACACCTGTTATCCTAGCTACTCAGTAGGCTGAGATCTGAGGACTGCAGTTTGAAGCCAGCCAGGACAAAGTTCAAGAGACGTATCTCCAATAAACTACTCCCAAAAGACCAGTGGCACTGTGGCTCAAGTAGTAGAGCACTAGCCTTGAGCAAAAGAAGCTTAGGGACAGCACCCAGGCCCTGTGTTCAAGCCCCAGGACTAACAAAACAAAATGAGCCTGAGTTGAATTTTGGAGTTGTTGATTTAATTTTTTCTTTACTTATGAAGCATGCTTTTGTTTATTGATTTGCTGATTGATTGATTGATTGTACTGAGGTTTGAACTCAGAGACCATACTTGCAACAGACTTTCTGCCCAGGCTGGCCTCAAACCATGGTCCTCTCAGTTTCAGTCTCTTAGATAACTAGGGTTGCAGACATGAGCCACTGGCACCTGGCTTTTAACAACACTTTTAAAAGGAACATTTGAAGTTAGATGGTAGAGAAAAAAATAGTGGACTGTAGTTATGGCTGTGTACCTTATTGGCGGGTCTGTCATCCACAGAAGAGCTCCCTATCCCTGAGGACCCACTCTGGCCCTAGGTAGATGGTATTTCTTCACTGGCAGAGACTGTCTATCTGCTTTCACAGCTCATTTCCTTTCTAGTCTTTTCTTTCTTTTTCATTTTTTTTTGTCTCCCTTTCTGTAGCTCTTTCTCCTTTCCTTCCTTCCTTCCATCCCTTTTATTTCTTCCTTTTCCCCATACTGTTTTATTATTATTATTAATTATTATTATTGCTGCTGCAGTACGGCTTTTGAACTCAGTGCAAGTGCTTGCTAGGCAGGTATTACGCCACTTGGGCCTCTAAGCCATTTTGTGTTTTTAGTTATTTTCCAAGTAGAATCTCATAATTTTGCCTGGGACTGGCTTCAGACTTCTGTCCTCCTTCCTGCAGCCACCATGTAGCTGAAATTAAAGACATGAGCTACTTCACCTGGACTCCAACTAATTTCTTTCCTCTTGGTGACACAGCTTATCTCTCTCCTCTTCTTGCCCTGTCACTGTGCGGGGGGGGGACTGAAAATCATGAACCCTGGGCTTCACTTCCCCTTCCTTCACCACTTTTTTTTTTTCCTATCTGCTGCTGGCTAGGAAACTAGGGTAGCTTTGGAAACTCTTTAAAAAAAAAAAATATATATATATATATATATATTATTGTGAAAATACTGTACAGAGGGGTTACAATTACGTGGGCAAGATAATGAGTACATTTCTTATCAAGCATTGTAGCCTCCTCCTTTGCTTCCCCTTCCCATCCTCCCCCTACCCTCCTACCCAACCCTCCTCCCCACCCCACCAAAGTTGAAAAGTCTCATTGTTGCAATGGATCCACCTGTATCCCTATTTAAATGATTTGTTTTTTCCCTTCCCCTCCACAAATTATAACAAGAAACATACAGCTTGGCTTCAGGTAATTGAGCGATTTTCCTCTAGGTGCACTACCAAATGGGTTTTGTGTGAGAGAGGAAGAGGGAGAGGATGAAAGGAAAAGAAAACAGGCAGGGAAGGAGAGTCTTAATAAACTTACACTGCTAAGTGCTGAAGTTGCACGTTGGGGCATTTTAGTGGCTGATCTTTCCTTAACCTGTATCTCACCTGAATTGCTCTTCATTTGGGGAGGCTTCTTACTGATTCTTTTTGCAAGTAGTAGTATTTGGCAGTATTAGACTGTAATTTATTTTTTCCTACTGCAAGTTTTCCTACTAATAGTGCAGTGAGACCATGTGGCATTATAACAGTAGGTTTGATTCACAGCTCATTGTGTCTAGTGTAGCTAAACATGGGAGCTTTTCAGACCAGATCACCCCAAAATGCTGATTATCTTAGCCATAAACACCTGTCAGGACAAATAGTAAATTCTAGCCCTATGAGGCAAGAAATATTCCATCCTTTTTCATTTTTTGGATGTTTGTGAAGAATTAATTCTTTTATAAATGTTTAGTAGAATTCCCCTAGAAAATCTCTGGAACTACACTTTTTTTTTTTTCCAGACTTGGGGCTTGAACTAAGGGCCTGGGCACTGTCCTTGAGCTTCTTTTTGCTCAAGGCTAGCGCACTACCACTTGAGCCACAGCACCACTTACAGCTTTTTCTGTTTATGTGGTACTGAAGAATTGAACCCAGTGCTTCATGAATTCTCGGCAAGCATTCTACTACTAAGCCAACTTCCCAGCCTGTGTTTTAAAAATTATTGTTACTAATTCAGTTTCTTTGCTAGAAACCTATTCAGTAGTCTTATTTTCTCTTGGGTCAATTTTAGTAGTAATGTTTTAGGAATCTCTCCACTTTATCTAGGTTATCTAATTTGTTCCATACCATTCTTAGCATTCCTTTACAGTTCTTTTTATTTTTATAATGATGGTAGTGGTGCCTCCTTCTCTGATCTTGATTTTAATAATTTGACTCTTGTTTTCTTAGTAACTAGCTAAAAGTTTGTCATTGTTATATTTTCAAAGAACTTTTTAAAATAGTTTTCTCAGTTGTATTTCCATTTCTACTGTGTTCTATAAGGTTTGGTATGTTGATTTTTGTATTTTCTTATCTCTTAAAAATATTTTATGATTCCCTTTATTTTCCTTGGTTGTGTTTTGTCCCGTGGCACATCCTTGATGTGCTCTACGTGCCCTGGAGCATGGTCTCCACTCTGGCATTCTGCAGCATTCTCCACGTCTTTGGTGTCTCTGTCATCTTGCCTATGTTGAAAGCCAAGTAGTACAGTTTGCAACTCTTTGCTGCCACATGTATTTCTCTTTCAAGTATGTCATTGTATGTGAGGTTTAGTTTTTTTGGAATGCACGCCTGTCTTACCTTAAACCTACTATGACTTTGAATGTAAAATATGTCTTTTATAGTCAGTATATAGTTGCATCTTGATTTTTTTTCCCAGTGCAATCTTTTGCTTTTATTTTCTGGTCTGCTTTATTTAGGAAATTTACAACACATCAAGATGCACACAGTTGATATATGCCTCTTAGTAAATAGGCGCTCCTGTAACTGCTGTTAGCATCCCTGTGTACACTGTGTTCTGTTGTCCTGTTTTTCTGGTTTTCAAGTTCAGAAGGCTTCAGAGCTCTGCTGAGGAGACCTCACACAGTTGATGCCCTGTGACCCAGCAGGGTCTCCCTGTGACCCAAACTCTTTCTCCTGCCTAGTCCTCCTCTTAAAAGCAGCTTTGTCAGACTTACTGGTGTGGCCACTGCCTGTCTTTGCCACTTGACCATTCACTCTTCGCTAGTCACTCCTCTCTGAGCAGAAGGGTTGTCTCATAGTCTCCTACCTTGGCTACTCTCGACGTTCTTCCCACGCATACCTACATGTGTGCTCTGCCTGTTCTTTGAAGAAACCACTCACCTCTTCTAGGACTTCAGTTATCGTAGTCAGCTAACTTCACATCGGCCTGGTAGAGGTTAGTGGCCATGGGCTTAATGAAGACTTTAGTCAGTCTCCACCTTTCATTAAACGGGAGGCTTTAGCCCTTTTCTATTTAGTGTAATTGCTGATAAGGTAGGATTTGCATCTGACCTTTTGCTCTGTTCTCTGTTATATTTTGTGTGTATATGTTTGCTACCTGACTTTTTTTGCTTTACATAAAGAGTTTTAATTGCTTTCTGCAGTTCTTGCTGGTATTCTAATCGCTGTTAAGTAGATTTCGGAGGTTTTAACATCATCCTTAACATTCCCTATTATTTATGTTTGAATGCTTTTTCTTGTTTTCCAAACATTTCCAGTGTAGTAAGTAAATTGATATTTGTGTTTTAGAGATGCTTTTATTGTAATTGTTCTTTCAATAATTTAGGTAGAAGTATACATATGATTGAAAATAATATTGCCAGTATAGAAATACTTTGAGTTAATTAAAAGGTTTGTGTTAGGAATAAATTAAGAACAACATCTAGAATTGTAGAGCTGGAAGATGATTAGACATGTCCATTTTTTAGCAAAGAGATCATGAGAGTGGAGAACCAAATGTCTGGCTTAAAATCTTATATCATTACCAGCAGTTCTGGAAATTTTCTTCAGCTTCCCAATAGTCTTTTCTAATATTATTGCTCTGGTATGATGAGTCAAAGAGAAGGAAAGGTGCCCTAAGACATTAGGTGAGTGAGTACCCTGCTTGCCCTTAAACATGAGCACTGTCTGGTTATGATATTCTAGACTTGCTGTTTCTCCCTTGTTAATCTATTGTGGTACCATGATTCTCCAGGGTGATAGTCGTGGACCCTTCAAGCACCCTTGCAATTTCTGCCTCATCCTCAGGAAAGTGTTTATAGCGTAGTTGTGTAACAGTTTTTTTGTGTGTGGTGTTTGTGTTTGAACTTAGTGCCTTGCCCCTCCTAGCAGATGTTTACTCCTTGAGCCATGTCTCCAGCCCTTTTGTTTTCTATATTTTCAAATGGAGTTTGGCATTTTTGCCTGGGCTGACTCGAGTCATGATTCTGTCTATTCCCATGTAGCTGGGATGACAAGTACCCACCACCATGCCTAGCTTGTTAGTTGAGACTGGGGAGCATCATTAATGTTTCCCTGGACCAGCCTCAAATCCCTTCCTCCCAGTCTTTTCACAGATAGCCAGCATGAACCGCCGTACCTGGACTACACTAAAGTTTTGGTTTTTTTAATACTCCTTGGCAGTTATTAATGCATCTGAGTTGAGGACTTCACTGTTTAAACCTGTTGGGTCTATTGCATTCTTCAGTTGTTCTTTTTTTTTATTTTTTGTCGGTCGTGGGGCTTGAACTCTGGGCCTGGGCACTGTCCCTCAGCTCTTCAGCTCAAGGCGAGCGCTCTACCACTTGAGCCACAGCGCCACTTCCTGCTTTCTGGTGGTTTATTGGAGATGAGAGTCTCTTGGACTTTCCTGCCCAGGCTGGCTTTGAACCACGATCCTCAGATCTCAGCTTCCTTAGTAGCTAGGATTACAGGCATGAGCTACCTGCGCCTGGCTTGATTTCAAGTTTTCTTATTGATTACTTTTCAGAAAACATGCAAATTTTTTATATTATCTGATGATACTTTTTATACATATTGCATATTACAGTGAACTGTTTAACCGTGGTAAGCGCCGAGCGTAAGTGTGGCATGGTGGGTAGGCTGGGTAGCAGGGCTCGTCACTAGAGCCGTGTGAGTTGGCCCGTGGTGGCCCCATTTGGACTATGTATTTGTGAGGAGTCACTCTATTGAGCCATCAGAGGATTGTTTAGAGTGTAAATGAAGCTGTTGATAGATCTGGTGACTGATGGCTTAAATTCCAATTAATCAATTGCTTCATCAGTTTCTTAATTCAGATCAAATATCTCTTGAGTGCACATAGTTCTTTCAGTGGTATTAGGAGAAATTAATGCTTTAGAACTAATTTTCATCAATCTCTTATAAATGCCAATATCTTTTTCACTTGTATCCTAAGTGATGACATTATAGTTTATGTGTTTGTGACTTATTACAGTACCTCAGCTGTCACCTGTTAGTGGGCCCGAGGGTTGGTAAATGATATTGTATTCATCCAGGTTGTCTCTGTAGTACTATTCATCTTGCCAGATGGAAATTTTCATTCAGAGTCATTAAGTCATACAAATGATTTAAAAATTAAGTTTAATGGCCGATGATCTGCTCTTACATCTGCAAAGCCGGTGTCTGCTTTCCTTTGGTTGGTCATCCACTGTGGCCCATCCCTCAGAGCAGTGCATCTGTAAGCTCTGCAGGCCTCCTCCTGGTGCTGCTTGATACACATCACCACTTGATGGGACTCTCCAGTGTGACATAGCTGATCTTAATTTGATGGTCGTTAAACCTGGCCTCTCCTGTCTACTCTTGTCAGTTATACAAAATAAAATGAAGACATGGTAAGGAGTCTGTAATAGGATATAAGTGGACCCGTTTAATAATTCACTTTTGTTGAGCTTCAGCTCACATGAGTTGTATTTAGTGTTTCTGTGAAAAAATTATTAGACTAGGTTCAATTTTTCCCCACTTAGGATTTTTCTGCAACACCCTGATCTCTAGTCATATCCCTCAGTAGGAATTTAATAATATTAACTATGCTTAGGAAAAAGCCTGTCATCTTCCTCCTAAATTTTACATACAGCATCTAATTAGTTAACATGAAATGTTTCTTTTAAAGAAAGTCACCCATACATTTTGCAAAGTTTAATATGCTTATATTGGTCTCACTTTCAGAAACAGTGTTAGAAATTAAAGAGATTCTCGAGTCTTACCTGTTACTTCAATTTTAGAATACAAACTCAGAGCAACATGGACATATTAAAACTGGTATCTCTCTGGGTACCAGAGGCTTATGCCTGTAAACCTAGGTACTCAGAAGCCTGAGTTGGAGAGTATTGTGGTTCAAAGCCAACCTGGGCAAAATGTTTGCAATAACCATCTCAGTCAATAAAAAAACAAAAACACAAAAATCTGGGTATAGTGGAGCACATCTATCATGGTAGCTTTGTATAAGAAGTGTATATAGGAGCATTGTGATCTGTACCATCCAGAGATACATGTGAAATCCTCTCAGAATTTAGCAAAAGAAAATGTGGTAGAGTATCTGCCTGACAAGCCTAAGGCCCTGAGTTCAAAGCTGAGTACTGCCAATTTTTCTCCTAAATTGGAAAAGTCATGCAAATTAATTCTCTTTGCAATTAAACATGAATTTGTTATGTTTTATCTGCTTCCCTAAATCCTAAGAATTGTTTTTTTAAAGTTTAGTGTAATTGTGTTTTTAATTTTGTAAAGTATTATGATTTTCCAATGAACCTGTCTATGTATACCAGATATGCTTGTGTACATATGAAGATGTGTGTACACAAAAAGCACCGAGATCACAGATATTTGTGAACATGAAAGACTGTGTATACACAAAGCGCATAGATCACAGATATTTGTGTACCCACATCTACCTACATGAAGACACACAGGGATGCATGCACCTAAACGGATGTGCATAGACTTTCATGTAGATGCCTTAAGCTATATGCATGCACAAAAGACTTGCATAAACACATATATGTAAATATATACTACTATATGCATGCTCCTATGAGCACATAGTAATAGATGTTCATGAGCACATACATGTAAACAGCACAGGTGCATACAGAGAACTACATGTACACTAACAAGGATGCAGCATATAAACAGATAACAAATACACAGATACATTGGATACACAGCTACTTACATATAGATGCACATTAAAAACCTCATGTATATACACACATACACACACATACACATACACTCTCTCTCCCTCACCTTCTTTTCCTTTCTCTCCCCTTCCATTGTTCTTACCTGAAAGGTAGGACTTTATATATACTGTTCTGTACTTTATTTTCTTTCCATAGTAAGATACTGAGATCTGCTTTTGTTTTGTTTCTTGCTTTTTTGTTTTTTTGGGTCTGGTCGTGGGGCCTGAACTCTGGGCCTGGGCGCTGTCCCTCAGCTCTTAAGCTCGAGGCTAGCGCTCTGCCACTTGAGCCACAGCACCACTTCCGGCTTTTTTTTTCTTTTCTGCTTATGTGGTGCTGAGGAATCGAACCCAGGGCCTCAGGCATGCAAGGCAAGCGCTCTACCACTGAGCCACCTTCCCAGCCCTCTTGCTTTTTTAATTGTTGCATGTACAACTTTATTCAGCTACTTCTTTAGTCATCTTTCCTTAGCCTTTTTTTGTTGTAAACAGTATTGCAAATGTCACTTTGTGTATTTGCTATTCTGTCTGTAGGGTAGATTCTAAAAAGAGGGTGTTGTGGCATGGTCTGAGGATAAATAGCTTTTTGTTATTTGATATTTCTTCATATTTGAAATTTGTTGTTGCATTTCATTGTAGCTATACCTTTATTTCAATACCCTTTTTTATTGTGGTAATTGTAACATTTTTTTAGCAAGGTAATATCACATTCTTGGAGGTTTTTAATGTATATTTTATTATCCAATCATGTTAAAAGTAAAAATGATCTATGTAACTTAAAAAAATAACAGCTAATATTATTAGGCAAGGCTAATTACTAGGATTAGGGGTACAGCTCAGTTTCTCTAAGTTTACCTGAAGCTCTGGATTCAGTCCCCATTGTTATAGAAACACATGCATGTGCATGCATGCGTGCACATACACATACAGCTACGTAAAACACTTTAATAGGCAAGAGCACCAAGCAGAATATGTGATTTAAAAATTTAATGACTGTCTTTTCCCCAGACTCGTTCTTTGCAAAAGTCAGATATATTCTGTAAAATGAAAGCTGTAAAGTTCTTTGTTCTGGGAACTTCCTTTTGAGATGTGCATTGATAGCACTTAGAGCTCAGGAGACATTTCTCCCATGCAGTTGTTCCATAGTGTTCATGGTTTCCCCTCTGCCTTCAAGGTTCGTGTTTTATTAGGACGGACCAGCTAGATGGTGAGACCGACTGGAAGCTGAAGGTGGCAGTGAGCTGCACTCAACGGCTACCTGCGCTGGGGGTGAGCATTCTCAAGATGGTGCAACCTTTCATTCGTTAACAGCGGCATCTGGGTGGTAGGGATGCTTCTGTTGACACCTGTAACTTATTTAATGTATTGACGATATGCGTATCATTTTTATTCCTTAGGAAAAGTGATGCCAAAATAACTTAGGTGTTTCCCAGCTCATAATCTGTTTTAGGTACTTTTGAATGTTCCTGTCCACTTGATAACTTTCTCGAAGTGGGGGGAGATTGTATGACTCAATCCCCTTTTGCTAGCTGATTTACTCCCTCGTTTTGTGGAATACGGCAGCCATTCTTGCCCTAATGCATTAAGGTATTGGTTTGCGAAGAGTTGGAGCCAGGTTTGCTCCTGGGTCTAACTGGCCCTCCCCTTCCATTCCCTGCTGCAAGTCCATTTGGTGTTTACCTTGTATTCATTTATGTGTAATGGTGATCTCAGTGTGGAGAACTTTGTCTTGTATGATATTCTGGCATGTTGTGAATGGTAAAGGAAGACAGATTGTCTAAGAGTATTGTTTGCCCAAGCAGTGTTGGTCAAGGGAAGGAAGGTGAGTACTCACAGATGAGTGGCTCTGTTTCATCTGGTTGTGTTAGGGCAGGACTAGCTGCCCTATTGCACACAGGCTGTAATCATCAAGGCCGGTAGGACGTTCTTCTTTGTGCTAGACTTTTTGGAAATGAAGTATATTTGGCATGGTGAGGATTTGGGGGTGGTTTGTTTATTCAGGCATTTTAGTGTGGCCCCATATTTCAGGTAGTTCCTGAGTTAGAATTTATTACCTATGTGTTTTGTATCTTTGTTAAGTAGGTGTTCTAACCATTGAGCCACACACATACACCCAACCCTTTTTGCTCTGGTTGTTTTTGAGATAGGGTCTGGAATTTATGCTTGGGGAACCTAGACCACTATCCTCCTATTTATTTATGCTTTCTGCATAGCTGGATGACAGGTGAGCGCTGTAATGGTAGCTTTTTATTTTGTTCCTCACCCTTGCTATTTCTTGTTGGTGTTTACCGCTTGAAAATATGTATATAGTATAAAACCAGATATATGCAGATATGCAGCCCACTTTTAGTTTTTCCTGTCCTGGACACAGAAATATTCTTCTCTTTGTGTGTGTGTGTGTGTGTGTGTGTGTGTGAGAGAGAGAGAGAGAGAGAGAGAGAGAGAGAGAGAGAGAGAGAGAGAGAGAAAGATAGGACTTAGGAGATACTTTGCTAGCCTGGGGGTTACACTCAGGGCTTTGCTCATGCTAGGCAAGTACTCTATACTGAGCCACATCCTAGCCTATTCTGTATACATCTCCTGTGGACATTATGTCACCCTCTGTCCCCAGGTCAGAAGTTTATTTTGGAAATTGTGTGAGCCACTAGCACCCTCCTAGCTTTATCTTCTTAAGTCTTGCTCTTAAATTTTGCTGGAGTGAGTCAAAGTCCTGTGCACTTTCACACGTACTTAGTCTTACTGCTAGGGAGGGCTGGCCTCCCTGGCTCTTGGCAATCCATTACACCCCTTTAAAGGTTCCTCTAAACTCTTGACTAGTCAAAACAGCAAGGCATGGTGGTGTATGCCTATATCCCCTGATACTCAGCAAGTCGGAGGAGCAGTGTTTGAGGCCAGCCCAGGCAAGAAGTTAGTGAGACCCCCATCTCAACAGACAACATTAAGTGTGTTTCTTTGCGACTGTGATCGATCTTAGCTGCACCGGGAGACAAAGGTCCAGAGCACGTCTGAGGCAAAAACATGAGACCCTATCTGAAAAATCATGTCCCAAAAAGGTCTTGGGGGGGGTCTTAGCAAGTCCAAGTCATTGAGTTTAAGCCTCATTACTGCCAAAACCCCAAATACAATGGAACCCTGTTCCCTTCCTAATCTGCAACCTCTGGGCCTTCAGCCTCTGTAGCCCAGGGTAAAGGCAGGTATAGTGTTGGCATCACGAACAGATGCTAGTTGAGCCCTCTGGATTTCTGCAGATTTTTATCTCCCTACCTTTTTCCTAGCATCTACAAATTTAGCAGGCCAGTTTCCATGAGCTCTGGTCTCTGTCTCCTGAACTCAGAGCATGTGTCTCTCTCCTGTCTGTAAGGTGTTCATCTTGATGTAAGAATGGCCAGGGTGGTCACACAGCCATTTGTGGGCTCTGTGGTTGCAGAGTTGCTGTTCCTGTGTGTTGTCCTTTGCGAGAGGGCAAGTATCATATTAGTTAATAAAACATTGCTTGTAGAATTTCTTGATTAAGTTTTAATGAGCAACAACTGCCTATTGACTAAACAAGTTACATGACGGTTCTAATTTTAACTAAAATTAAAACAACTGTTTGTTTCATGAGGATACCTCCGTCCAGGAAGGCTGGAGTTGACCAGGTTAATGTTTTCTTCTTCTAGCAGAGCATATTAGCCCTAATCTCGTCTTCCCTCAGACACTTTTCAGTCCTCTCTCTTAGATTGCATTCCTTGTAAAGGAAGTATAGGGTAATTTTTCATTACTCATAAAACAGAAGAGAGCCCCTCATAATTTACCCCTCACCTCTGGCTGCCATTCACATGTGATCCACCGTGTCCTGGTGCTGCATCACCCTTCCCTCCCCTGGCTTCTCCCTACATGCTTGTCCTGTGAGACAGTGCCTGTATGCTCTTTTCTCTAGCGGGTATTTATTGCTGTATGTTTCATGAAAGATTTTGGTAGTTTTTGTTTCATGTTGCTTCCTTGAGACCGTCTTGCTATATAGCCCAGGCTACCAAGGAAGTCACCATTTTCCTGCCTCCAGGCATTCTGGGGATTTGAGACAGGCCACTAGACATGACAGGTTTACACGTTCTTCATTAGATTTTCATAGTAGTAGCTAGGCATATTTATGTAATAGGACCTACAAGTATTTTAAAGTGGTTTCAAAGTGGCTCTGAATTTTATTGTGGACATGCACAAGACTGGGGAAAGCACAGATCCCAGGCACTGCTTGGGGGGTGGAGGGAGGGCATGAATCCAGGCACTGCCGGGCGGGGCTGGGGGGGTGGGGTGAGGAGTGGCAGTACTGACCACAGACACTGACATGGGGAGCACTGACCACAGACACTGACGTGGGGAGCACTGACCACAGACACTGACATTGGGAGCACTGACCACAGACACTGACGTGGGGAGCACTGACCACAGACACTGACGTGGGCAGCACTGACCACAGACACTGACGTGGGCAGCACTGACCACAGACACTGACATGGAGCACTGATCACAGACACTGACATGGAGCACTGACCACAGACACTGACATGGAGCACTGACCACAGACACTGACGTGGGGAGCACTGATCACAGACACTGACGTGGGGAGCACTGACCACAGACACTGACGTGGGGAGCACTGACCACAGACACTGACATGGAGCACTGACCACAGACACTGACGTGGGGAGCACTGACCACAGACACTGACGTGGAGCACTGATCACAGACACTGACGTGGAGCACTGACCACAGACACTGACATGGAGCACTGACCACAGACACTGACGTGGGGAGCACTGATCACAGACACTGACATGGAGCACTGACCACAGACACTGACGTGGAGCACTGACCACAGACACTGACATGGGGAGCACTGACCACAGACACTGACGTGGAGCACTGACCACAGACACTGACATGGAGCACTGACCACAGACACTGACATGGAGCACTGACCACAGACACTGACGTGGGCAGCACTGACCACAGACACTGACATGGGGGAGCACTGACCACAGACACTGACATGGAGCACTGACCACAGACACTGACATGGAGCACTGACCACAGACACTGACATGGAGCACTGATCACAGACACTGACGTGGAGCACTGACCACAGACACTGACGTGGGGAACACTGATCACAGACACTGACGTGGGGAGCACTGATCACAGACACTGACATGGAGCACTGATCACAGACACTGACGTGGGGAGCACTGACCACAGACACTGATGTGGGGAGCACTGATCACAGACACTGACGTGGGGAGCACTGACCACAGACACTGACATGGAGCACTGATCACAGACACTGACGTGGGGAGCACTGACCACAGACACTGACGTGGGGAGCACTGATCACAGACACTGACGTGGGGAGCACTGATCACAGACACTGACGTGGGGAGCACTGACCACAGACACTGACATGGAGCACTGACCACAGACACTGACGTGGGGAGCACTGATCACAGACACTGACGTGGGGAGCACTGATCACAGACACTGACGTGGAGAGCACTGACCACAGACACTGACATGCAGCACTGACCACAGACACTGATGTGGAGAGCACTGACCACAGACACTGACATGGAGCACTGATCACAGACACTGACGTGGGGAGCACTGATCACAGACACTGACGTGGGGAGCACTGATCACAGACACTGACATGGAGCACTGATCACAGACACTGACGTGGGGAGCACTGATCACAGACACTGACGTGGGGAGCACTGACCACAGACACTGACATGGAGCACTGACCACAGACACTGACATGGAGCACTGACCACAGACACTGACATGGAGCACTGACCACAGACACTGACATGGAGAGCACTGATCACAGACACTGACGTGGGGAGCACTGATCACAGACACTGACGTGGGCAGCACTGACCACAGACACTGACGTGGGCAGCACTGATCACAGACACTGACATGGGGAGCACTGACCACAGACACTGACGTGGGCAGCGCTGACCACAGACACTGACGTGGGGAGCATTGACCACAGACACTGACGTGGGCAGCACTGATCACAGACACTGACGTGGAGCACTGACCACAGACACTGACATGGAGCACTGATCACAGACACTGACGTGGGGAGCACTGATCACAGACACTGACATGGAGCACTGACCACAGACACTGACGTGGGGAGCACTGACCACAGACACTGACGTGGGGAGCACTGATCACAGACACTGACGTGGGGAGCACTGACCACAGACACTGACATGGAGCACTGA